TTTCCTCTTTCATTTTCCCTTCTCTGTCTTTGAGAACATGAATGTTAGTGCTTTTATTATGAGTTCATTAGTTCCTGAAGCTCTGATTTTTTTTTTTCAGTCTATGTGTATATTGTTCATATTGGATCATTTTTTGTGTTCTCTCCTCCAGTTCAGTGATTCTTTTCTTTGTCCTCTCATTCCTCTTGTTAGGCCCATCCACTGGGCTTTTTGTTTCAGTTATTGTAGTTTTCAGTTTAAAAACTTTCACGTCTTCATTATATATTCTGTGTTTTCCATCTTTTCAGAAGCAGAAGTTTCCCTCTTTTGTTACCAGTTATATCTGCTATTCTATAGTTTTAGTAATGGCCATAAAATGACATTTGTTACATGATAAATTTTATGATAGACTCTGTTCCCTATTCATCTATACGGTGATATGTAAATGGATTTGTGAACATAATACTCTGTCACTCAATTCAAGAATCCACTATTGGATAATCAGTAATCTATAACTAGCCCTACATCAATTCCAAGTGCTGTTGTATGTTTTAATAGTGTTTTAAAATAGTTTAATAGATTTTTCAGTGAATCCTTGCAATTAGTTTTATAAATCATTACCTTTCTTTTCTGTTCAATGAATTCAACAAATATTTAGTAACTACTAGTTTATATCACAAAATGTAGTATCCATAAGCCTTTCAGTAAATAGTAATAAACATGTTGACCAGCATATCCACTTTAAAATTCTTAAAAACTTAAGTTGTCTCACTGTATAACAAAGAAATTGTTATTCTCTCTGAAATAATTCAACAAGTTATCTCTTTGAACTAAATCAACTGCCATAGCAGAGGAAGCAAATCAATGGAATCATTAGACTGATTTATCATTCTCCTCACTCACACTCTTAACCATTCTGAATATATTTTCTTCTCTCTGTACATCAGTCAGAATTTAAACCTATTGCATCATAAGCTGATTTTCTCAAAAATAAGGAAGGAGGTCAACTATTATTTTCTTGAAAAGATCTTAGCAAATTAATTGATGCAGTAAATTAGGAAGTAAGAACAAACACTGTCCTCAGTAAAGAGAGCACATACTTTTGCTTTTCATACTTGCTTTGATTTTATTTATTTAATTCAGTAAAACAAGCCAAACCTGCCCTTTTTTTTTAAAGAATGATTTAAGAATGTTATCAGTAAGTGAATAAAGGTTGAGAAACTAGTTTAATTCTTTTAATTCATGAAAAACCTGTGGAAACAGGCAACTGTTTTTCAGCAAAGTATTTATAAAATGTCTGAGTGTTGTGTAAGATTATGTACAAGGTCAACTAGATACAAATCACTTCTTTTAAAACTTATACAGGTACGAATGCCTATGCCTACCCAGTTATTGTGCTAGATATTTTTCCACATAATAGATCACTTTATCTCTTTCTTATATGAACTCCATGAGTTTGTTCTCAGTGTTTTAGAGTAAAAGAAATTAATATTCAGGGAGTAAAGTATTTTCCTAAGGTCACACAGAGTGAATGACAAGACTGAAATTTGAACCTACATTTTCTAAATCCAACCCAACATCATTTCATCAATACCAAGGTCAGCATTCTTGACATATTAGACTGGGTAATTCTTTGTTGTGAAAGTGTGTCCTCTCCATTAGAGGATGTTTAGCAGGCCCTCCAACCTTCACCCACTAAATGATAGTAGTAATATCCCTGTGATTGGAACAATTGAAAATGTTCTCTGATGGATGGAAGTACTGCCAGCTAAGAACTACTTGTCTGCATTTCTGAAATCTCACTTCTAAATTCTAATCTAAAATTTTCTATCCAATTAAAATAAATAGCTTACATAGGATACACAATTGATTGAGCAAATACTATTAAATAAATGAAATATAAGCAATAGAGTATGTATAAATTTTAGGATGGTAAATAAAATGATATCATGTAAGACTTGATTAATACTTGGTCATAGGGGACAAGACAGGAAGTCAGGAAAAGTAGCAAAACTTGGTATTAATAGGAAAGTATCAAGTGCAAGAATAAGCTAAAACCACATGAGACATGACATAAAAACTGAGAATGAGTTCAAAAACCAGGTAAGCAGTGAGGTTGAGGAGAACATAAATATTTACAAGGAAAATATGTAAGCAGGTCATAAATCTGATAGTTTCCCAATATTTGAAGCTAAAGCAGTATAGAGAGTCAGGGGCCAGGAATATAATCAAAGCCACAGACTTGAGACAATAGATTCATGTTTCAGAATTAAGAAACACTGAAACTGACACAGAATCCACTACAGAAAGGAATCTGTTACATGTCACTTACTGGAGTAGTGTCCATTGGAGGGCATTTTCTACCTTGACCTTCCTTTGGATTTATTATAGTGAGCAGCATAGTAGATGATTTAGTCTTAATTGGTATGAATTATAATAATATGAACTATTACAAAGTAAAAGTATTTTAAAGCCTTACTTTCTGTACTAAATTAGAAATATTAAATTCATTAAGATCATATAATTTTAAAACTGGAAGTGAAAATTGAAACTTTGTTTATATTACTCCAAAAATTTTGTGATAAATAAAAATATTATGAATATTGTATGAGCCAATTATTAGACATGCTTTGAACTTCTGAGAGTAACTAAATGATTTTTCTGCTGTTTTATCATTTTCTTACTATAACTTAAAATATATTCCAACATGATTTAAGTGCTGGTAAGTTAGAATGCTATTGCTGTGATAAAAAATGCATGGGGGGGTGGTTGGGATTGTGACTTAGCATTAGAGCGCTCTCCTAGCATGGGCAGTTCGATCCTCAGCACCACATAAAAATAAAGGCATTGGGTTGTATCCATCTACACCAAAAAAATAAATATTTTTTAAAAATGCATCTGAAAATAAGTAACTTTGGAAAGAGATTAAATGTTATAAGAAAATGTTATAGGACTTACTGAATAAGGCTAACCAGTGGGTCCCTAATGTCAGTTTAAGAAAAGCTCTCTGAGGGAAAAATAGCACTAAAGCAAAAATGTGCTTCAATTGTTATAGATTTATATATACTGGAAACATATTCTTTCTACTTTACCTTTATTTCTATAGGGAAATGTCCTTGGAATTATAAACATCCTAATTTATTATAGTTCTTAAGAAATGCATTCTTCCTATAAAATAAATTTAGCCTATATAAATGGAATATTAATATGTTTGCACTGGGAAGTATATCACAACAAGAAATTGAAAAAAAAAGTTGACAATTATTACAAATTCTGAGGAGGAAAAGACTATGATCCAAGAGAAACTAACAAAGAGGAAATATCAAAATTTAGATTTGAAGAATCACAGTGGCTTCTGAGGAAGTGGTGTTTATGCTGCAATTTAATAGATGAATAGGAGTTTGTTCTATTTTGCATTTTCTTCTCTGCCAGAAGGGTTAGGGCTGATTCAATTGCTTGCCTTTCTTTGTTTCAGTTTTTTTCATCAAGAAATTAGAAATATTATTGAGACTCTTCACACAGGTGTTATCAAGTTTAGTGAGTTAAAAATATATAATTTATTATTTTAGAATTTTTTTTCTGAGTGCATTGAGATGCTATTGCAGAATTTTACTTTATCTTTTTGAAAAAAAAATCATTCCAACTATTGCTTCTGTCCAAGAAAGTTTTGGTGAAAATTTAAAGGTTCCCAAGGCATTGTGAATGATGAGTAGCTCTTTTTTTTTTTTTTTTTTTTTTTTTTTTACAGCTTGAGAGTAAAGGATCTAATCACATGTCCATCTGCAAATCATTCTAGTTTTATATGTACTAGCCAAGTGACCAGAGTTTAGAAACAGTCTCTCTTCTTCGGGACTAATTTGAATCTTGAAATGATTTCTTTTGATATGCCAACTGTCCTGGTTTCATGTCCATTTTATTTCTGTGTGACACCTACTCCAAAGTGAGACCACTATAAAGGCTCATGGGTAACTTAAAAGAAGAAATTTATAATCACTTCAGTTTGAAGAGTTTTAAATATAAGACTGTATATTAAGTCAGTGCTAAAGTTCACTGACTAGCTTTTTGCAGATTTAAGAATTATATTGCTTTCTTTCACGTTATCAACCTGTATTATATAGTTAGGTTGTTGTAGTTCAAGTCTCCAATTGACAGTTCCTTTGTATGCATATACTGAAATGATTTTATTTAATAAAAAAAGAACATCTCCTGTGTGGATTTTAAATTTCCCTTATTAAATATTTATATTTTCAAAATGTCTTTATTTAATTGAGTGAGGTGCTTGGTGCCATTTCAAAATAACCTCAGGTGGTAGGTGTAATGACATATCAAAGATTTGACCTTTAGCATTTTAGGATTCTATTTATCTGCATTTTCTTCTGCATTCATTTAGTCTTAATTTATATGCTATTCCTCTGGATGATTTAATGAGTGAATGTATTTGGCCCAAGATTCATTAATCATAAAAATATATATCTGAATACATATTATTTCTGTGCCTTCATTTATATCTCAACTGTGACAAGTAGAAAATTCTGTGTATAAGGTTGATCAGTATTTGCACAAACCTCATTCATTCTCATTAAGTGCTTAGCAGAATAGACCCTGATCCCCTAAACTGATGCCCATTCTCCTACTTCTCACTTCTTTGCAGTCAGCTTATTATATTCCTTTATTTACCTAGAGATACTTTATTTTCCAATTCTCTGCTATTCCTTTTAAAGAAAATTGAATGTAATATTTACACTGATATAATTAAATTAACATCTTCCAGCATCTTTCTGTGTGCTTTGCTAGCGTAGATAATCATTTACTGGGTAGCTTGCAGTGTAGAAGCAGAGTTATAGAATAATTATTAATTATTTTATATCACAATAATATAGTGATATAAAAGTTATTTTCATTTGTGCATGTTTTTCTGTATTGATTTTGAGAAGTAAAGATTCTAAGTGGAGTTAAGGAAATGGATCATTGATCAGTTAGCCTATGTTACTTATATTTAAATTATTTTTGTATTTTCTCAGTTTACACAAATCTTTATCTCAAGAAGAAAACCTGAAGGATCAATTTAACCATACACTTAGTACTTATGAAGAAGCTTTAAAAAACAGAGAGAACATTGTTTCCATCACTCAACAACAGAATGAGGAACTTGCTACCCAACTGCAGCAAGCTCTGACAGAGCGAGCAAACATGGAATTACAGCTTCAGCGTGCCGTAGAGGACTCCCAAGTGGCCAGTGAAAAGGTTCAGAAGTAAGTAAAATGTTCTTTTAGTATTTTAAAAACATAAAAAAACTTTCTTCTGAAAATAAGCAATATATAATTATTGTTCATGCCATTAGTAGTTCAAGTCAAAAGTAGAACCAAATGATCTATTTCACATTGTATATCATAAACATGTTTAGGGTCAAAAAGTCACTTGCTTGGCAATAGTTGTTACTATTTAGGACAAACCATTTATTTTTGATAACTGATCTACATTAGTTTGTGGAGGCCACATTATTGAAATCATTCCATCCTCCCAAGTTGATAGGCAAAGTTATTTGCAAGAGGAAGAGGCAGTCAAGTTACTACCTGCACTCATTTGGCTTCACAATAATCCTGCTGGAGTTGAGATCATCTGTGACCTTGCAATTTGAGACCTCTAGATGCAGTAAATCCAGTACAGTGAAATTAATTTTCTTGTGTTGTTCTTCTGAAGTATTCAATGCTACTATTCACAGCGCATAATTACATTTGTTTATTTTGAGTGATCTTTCCATTTTTTATTAAAATTTAAATAAAGCTGCATAATCAGTCAGTCTTTATGACAGCTAGCAGAATGTTAACAACTTACCAAGCAAAGAAGTCACTTGTTAATTTATGGGACTTGAATGTTGTAGCAGAATTTTCTGAGGAAGCTTTAATGTAATAAAACTTGTCATTTTAACCTTCTTTGTGTGTTGTTAACAACATAACATCATTCACATACCTAATCACCTTCAGTTTCTAACACATACCTTTTCCTTAATCTTTTTTTCAGTTTTATAGTATGAAGTAATGCTTACTTGCTTTAAGGTTTCTTACTTTCTGTGACTTCTTATTTGAAAATTAGTCATTTCAACTACTTCCTTAACATCTCTGAAGTTATATTTCAATTAAAGAGCCCAAAGTCAGGTGAATCTGTAGTCAAGACCATTTTCAAACAGTTTAGGGATTATGCATATTAATATTTACTACCTATGTACCTTGTAGCTTTTGATTTATATAAGCATTATATTTTGTAAGTTTAAAGATTAGGTTTATATTTGATCAGAAACTATCTAGTTTTTTACAATGTGCACTAAAAGTCTAAGAACACTGATGTGTAGATGGATCTCACTTCATCATATATTGCAATTAGTAACTGGACTATCAGGATCTGATTTAGTTCTGTTAGCTAAAAGTCTATAAATAATACAAATTTCAAAGTTTTCTTTACATATAATCTTTTAATATCTATCCATGACTAAAATTCCTTGAAATAGTTTGCAGAGACCAATTCAGTTCTCAAAAAAACTTTGGAAATATTGCTAACTTTTAATTTTTTAGAACCTATCAACTATCATTATCATTAACTTTTTGCACACCAAGAAGTAGAACATTATTTTAGATAAGGCTTGAATTATAATAAATGTAACTGTTGAACGGACTCATTATATCATCCTATTTTGCATACGTAGTCACAGAAAGAAAAACTGTATTTTGGAATGGCACCAGTCCATGGATCAAAGTCTAAGTACAACAGCCATGTCATTCACAAGTGTTAAATGTTAAATCTTTTATTCTGATTTCCAACAAGACATAGGAGAAATATTATCACACTTTCCTTTTTATATTCAATTCATTGTACTTCATTTTAGTTTGCATCAATTAAACAAAGTATATTTTTATCCCAGTTAATGTGGCCATCAGTCTTTTATTGTTTAAAAAGGAAGTTATCCTCTAAAAAGAAACTATAATAAGATTTTTGGGGCTGGGGATGTGAGCTCAGTGTTATAATGCTTGCCTAGCACGTGTGAGGCCTTGGGCTTGATCCCCCGCACTGAGAAAGAGAGAGAGAGAGACAGAGACAGAGACAGACAGACACTGACTTTATAAGAAAGTATTCTCCATACAATCAAAAATTACTACTGTTAGCATACATTTTTTGGACATTCCCTTGAAAATATGTAATATTCCAGAAAATTTCAAATTTAAACTAAAGAGGTCCATATTTCCTCTTTTCCCTTCGCAACCAAATTTTTTGACCTAATCTATCTCTAATTTTTTTAATTCCCATTTATTCCTCTTCTGTTCATTACTCTGGCTAACTTTTATGCTAAAATTGTTCTTTCAGTATCACTAATAGTTTCCTAACTCCTAAATCAAGGACCCATTTTAAACCACATTTTTATCATACAACTAATACATGATTATGGTAAAAATAAATGAAGTTCTTTTATCTTCAGCAGTATTAAATCCTGCCTTTGATTCCAAATGTGTATGTTTGAACTTGGATATTTTATTTTTAAATGCTGTGTTAATTTGGATAGTTACACAACTGTCACATAACATTACTGTAAGCATTAGCTGAAATAATATAAGCAACACTTTTAGAACAATGTGTGCTATATATCCTCTCCTTCTTTTGCATATCTCCTCCTTCTCTTGTCATCTCCCTCCATGCTACACTCATTGCTCAGAGAGGATGTACATTTTCAAGATTAAATGTCTTTGCATGTGTTGATCTCTTTGCTCAGAGTCTTTTACTTTCTCCCCAATGAGAACCTTATTCATTTTGTGAAAGTTCACCATACAGGACAGAAAACAGGCTTTGTTGTCAAGTCTGAAAGTCCTGGCTTTGAATCTCTACTCTCCTACTTATTACATGTGAAATTTTTACTTAAGTAAAAGTTCCCCAGATAAACTCAGTAATTCTGCCTTCACAGGAAGGGTTCTCGTGAGGAAGAAATTGAATAGCATATGCAATGCCTAGTGCAATGCCAGTAATTATTAAAAGCAGTCTATAAATGACATTATTTGTATTGTGATATTCATCAAAAAAGCAAAACCAGTTCAATTACATCTTTTCTGCTAAGTCTTTTCCAACTTCCTAGAAAGTAAATTCACTCCCTTCCAATGTGTTGTCATAGTATTGGAGCAGGGGGCATTAGTGTATTATTAGAAGCCATTCCAGTCAACAGTACACTCATTTAGTTGGACCTTATAACTTGTTGCCATGCCCAAAGATAGTTACTGTACTTTATTATTTATAAGTTTATATGTCTTCCTACTAGATTGTGCATCCCTTGAGAGTAGATAACATCCTAAAATTTTACATGATGAATGCTTTCTGAATATTGTTTGGAAATACAGAAAGCTTATGTTCTAAAGTCTAGGGATTACATCAATGTTAAGACATGTTAAGACCATGTAATATGATCACAGAATATTACTTTAAGACTTTTATTTTACTACTTTTCTGTCCATTTCTATTCCATTTCTTTTAAGGAATATATCTGCGAGCTATCCCAAAGTAATGATTCTTTTTTTTTTTAATGGAACTGAGGATTGCACCCAGAGTAATCTACCACTGAGGCACATCCCCAGCTCTTTCTATTTTATTTTAAGACAGGATTCCACCAAGTTGCCCAGGCTGGCCTTGAATTTGTGATCTCCTTGCCTTATCCTGCAGTCATGGGTATTGCAGTCATCTGCCACTGTGCCTGGCCCTACATGATTTCTCTAAAGATTATTGCTACATAATTCTTAGGAAATGTTATCCATTCCCATAAGCTTAACCCACTACCTATTAGCCAAATAACTTCCAAATCTTCTTCTTATAGTACTCACCTCTCTGCTAAGATCTAGTCTCATGTTCCCAAAACTCTTTACTTTGCCCTCCCCTGAAAATAAAGTTCTCCAGTATTTTCTGTCTCAGTTAATGAACTTCAACACACTATTTTTTACCTTTCACATTTACTTTGGCACCAATTTCTGCTGTGTCTACTGCCTAAATGTCTTGATTCCGTTCGTCCCATCCTTACTAGTTAGCTCTATTACACCAAGTCCTCATCATGCCTCATCTGGACTATCTCAATAATTATAACACTATTCTATCTGGCTTTATTTCTCCTGAGTTTGTCTTTCCTAACTGCCATCAGACCTAAAATGAATCAAACATGAAACATAAATATTACTTCCTCATATAAAATCTCTCATATGAGGCCTATCCCTGGCCCTCTCCCACTGTTCTAGTATCATTTCCTCACACAGTCCTTCTTCTTTGAACATGTTCCTGCCTTTTAGTGCACTGCCAAGCTTTTGTTAATTCCTGAAGTCCAGTCTAAACATTACCCCCATTATAAAGCTTGAACTGGCTTCTTTCTTCCATTGTTTCTTTATTTTCTCCTTCTATTTGGTTTTCATAGTACTTAATCCATACCTTTGTTAGAGTTCTTAACCATCTAGGTGTTATAATTGTTTCATAAGTTTATTTTCTACCTCCTCTCTGTCCTCTCTCCCAAATTTCCTAAGATATAGATAGTGTCTTGTTCATCTTCATATCCTCATCTCTTCCATAAACTCACACAGATGTCTGCTATAAAGTAAGTTCTCCATAAATATTTAGGGAAAATGAGCTGAAGCAATTTAATAGATTGATAAAATAATAGGAATAAAGTAAAAGCTGGTCTGGTCTGGTCAGGAATGTACAGGAAAAAATCTAGATATACCCTCATCTACTTTAAGCCCTAGATAAAAAGCGTTTCTCCTAATCCAGTACCAAATCTAACCAGTTTCATAGCAAATGATGGCCCTCATGATGGATCCTGCCCTCCTCCTCTCACTGGCACCACCTTCTCCTCTCCTGGAATCTCATTACCAAACTCTAACCTTTGCCCTAAAAACCCACTTCCCTCAAGTTTAATTACAATTAAGACTGAAAATCTTTAGTGATGGTAGAAAGAGAACGTATACTATTGCTAATTGTAGAATTTTAAATTCATGTTCTATCATTCTAGTCATAAGAATTATCATTCATAAGCTGGCCTACAAATATATACAGGATAAAAATCAATGAATACAAGAAACTCATTGCCCAAAAATAGTTTTTTGCCCAGCTGTCATAAAACCTAAAATTTCACTGATGAAGATTTATCGCTTTGGGTTAAGCACTATGTACTTCTATTATTTATAGGACAAACTTCTCTCAATAGTTTCACCAAGGACCATTTCCATTCTCCATTTATTCA